CTATTTTGATAAAGTTGTCATTTAATATTATCATTCAATATGTCTGCATGTATATTAAATTATTAATTAACGATACCACGATTGTATCTCGTGACGGGTTGAACCACGAATTAAGAACATCTTTATTGGTGAATTTTGGTGGGTATTATTAAATATAAAATTATTAAAATTTGAGTAAAAAGAAGAGATAGTGAGTATTTTTGAAGAGAAAGAGTATCAAAAGTATCAAATAGTTGATACTTTTGAAAAGAGAAATAGTGTGTTTTTAATAATTTTATATTTAAATAGAGTATAAAATTAATAAAAGTTGAGTAAAATGATGAAAGAAAAAATATAAAATTAAGTAAAAGGAAGAAAGAGTGTGTTTTTAATAATTTTATATTTAATGATATTCTCAAAAGTTCAAAAGTTAATGTCTATAAATTTAGGCTGCATAGTGTGCTATACTAATTACTAACTTAAGCATTTTCCCGAACTTTATTAAATTTCAGATTATAGTTAATGCTTTTTTTTCTAATAACCGTGAGACGACCAAATCATGTAATCTAGTAGTTTGTGTTTTAGTGTATATTGATAACTAGGTTTAACCCCGCATATAGCATGCTACTGACAAGCATTTCAAGCCGAATTGTAGATTAATATATCGAGAATAACATGTGCCAAATAAAACTAAAATTACAACAAGAGAAAATATATATATGATATGTGGAAATTATACTCATTATCAGTTAGTGTTGAGTTGCAAGTCTAATTAATTCTTACAAAAAAGTATTAAAAGTTTTTTTTTACTTTGAAGACCAAATTCAACTATTATCTACCACCAACATTAGTTAATTAGATTTTAAATCCTAAGCGAAAGTCATATGAAATTAATGACTTTGAGTATCTGAAGAGCACAATCCCTAATATTATGGAAAGTAGGAGGAGAAGAGGGAACGGTGCTGGTTGGGTATGGAAGCAAACACCGAAGCTTAGCCAGTTTCTTCGGTGGTTTCTGTTTGGTCGGACATTGCTTTCGGCTTTGGCCTTGGTCAGCCTCCACCAATGCATGGTGTGCGTGCTTTCCACGCGCCCGTGGCCCATGAAGATTCAAAAGTTTTTCGAAGAAATATACAAAAGCAAAATGGCAGGAGACGAGTCAAAGCAGAGACACACCAGCCCCATAATTCTCATTTCCTTATCAATCATATATGTATACAATAATATATTTATTTAAAGTGGTATGCATACAATATTACATATCAATGGTGTATATCATTATCAAAGTCAAGGTGTTGGATTGGTATATCAGTCTCGTTCTATATCACCGAATGATAAAATTGTAAAATTATTATGTCATTCCGTGTGTTTTACATAAATTATTAGGATATTATTTAGCGTAATCATTTTGCCATTTTAGCTACGAAAAGC